GTAGACACTTAACATTTGCAGTTTGACTCATTTTGAGTAAGTGGAATAAATCCTAGGGGAATAAATCCTCTGGACTTCCAAATAGCGTGGCGCTTCATTTGGTCTTGGCCAGCTGAGTTGCCTCCTCAGGTTCTGAGTATATTTCTCCCTACAAATCAATCCTTGCCTGCTTTTGCTGTTATTTGCTGTTTCTTGTTTGAATTTTTTCCTATAAGTAGGACAAGAACTGGGGGCACAGAGTACTATCTCTGGCCAGGGCTATCTTTGGCCAGAGACCACCCCAACCACTGCTGACAAAACTGGCATTTCTCCCTCGAGCAGCTCTTGCATTGCTGGAGCACTTGCAGAAAAACTCCACAAATGGACTTCTCCTGTTTTTATAGAGACCACTAGAGGCTCGGTGCACGAGCCTGGCCAGGGGGAGGGGCCACGGGCAGTTGGTTGGCCGACCAGCCCCTCCCCCTGATCAAACTCCAGATCGAGCTCCTGGTGGAGGGGACAATTTGCATATTAGCCTTTTATTATATAGGATATGACACATCAGATCTTTGTGCAGAAAACAAGACACATCATAAATCTAAACCACCAGGAGGTTTAATATTTCACGCTAAATTATAAAACTAATTTTCTGCTCAGTATTTATTATTTTCTCGGATCTTATCAAACAGACCAAGTTTATTCACTTGTTAATTACTGAAACATAGAGTAACAGTGAACAGAGCTATGCTGAAATTTACGAGCCAGGCTCTCAGTTCCTAGCTGACCACATTTTATTCACAGTTAATATTAAGAATCAGCAAATTAACTTGACTTACTCGAAAAGAGTCAAATTGCAAATGTTAAATGTCTACTATAATTGCGTGTAACCTGATGTGGGCTGTCATGGAAGCGATCTACCTAGAATAAGTGAGTTGTGGAAGAAGTGAGCCAACTGGGCTGTTAGGGCTCAGGAAACAAGTTACAGAGGCCAAAGAAGGGCCTTAGGAGCTTAGGAAAAAGAAAGGCAGAGAGAATGCAGGTAGGGGAGGAGAGAGGGAAAAGCTAGGGTGTGCCAGAGAGAGAGTGTGTGCACCTGGGGAATGAAGGGGGTGGGGAAAGCGGTAGGCTTGAGAGACAGAGAGAATGAGAATATGAAGTGAACATTTAAAAAGAACTTATTTTGAGATAATTTCAGACATGAAATAGTTGCAAAAATAGTACAAGGAACCTATATATTCTTCACCCAGATTCCCCAAATGCTATCATTTAACCACACTTGCTTCGTCACTGTCTCTCCAAATATCTGTGTGTGTATACGTTGTGAGTTTTCTGATACCTTTGAGAGTAATAGGTGGTCAAGATGTCCCATTACCTCTAAGTATGTCAGGGTATGCTCCCTAAAAACAAAGACATTGACTTGCATTTCCACAATGTAATTATCCAAGTTAAGAAATGAACATATTGACCAAAACTATAATCTATTGGCTTTTTTCAAATACTGCCAATTTTCCTACTAATGCCCTTTTCTGGTCCAGGCTTCAATCCAGAATCACATGTTGCCTTTAGTCAGTCTCTTTTGATCTGAAATTGTTCCTCACTTTGTCTTTCATGACCTTAACATTTTTGTTTGTGGGAAGTTTATTTTCCCCAATATTAATAGTTTAATAAATTTCAAATCTCTGAGGAAATTGCAAGAGTAGCACAACCAAGACCCTTATATTCATTACCTAAGATTCATTAACAGTTAATATTTTGCTACACTTGCTTCATAACTATATCTATCTATCTATCTATCTATCTATCTATCTATCTAATTGATCCAGCATGTGAAATTGCATGGCCCCGCCCACCCACGCGCTGCCCTGCCTTGACACCCTAACCTCTCCACCCAGAGCTCCAGCACATCTGGCCCTGGCCCCGGCCCCTTCAGCCTTCTCTGGCCGCTTCAAGCCCCGCCCTAAGTACCTCAAGTCGCCTCAGGCTGGTCCCGCCTCCTCCGGGCACCTCCCCGCTTCCACCCCATCTCGGGAGCAATGTGGGGGCTCCACCCCGCCATGCATGCAGCCTCCTGCTGAACGGTCATTACAACATGAGGGCATCACAACCATTAGCATATTAGCTCTTTATTATATAGGATGGATATATATATTTGTTTGTTTTTTTAACCATTTGAGTTAACATTACCCCTAAATATTTCAGCATTTATTTTGTTGGTGGGGCCAATGGGAAGGAATCCCTTGAAGCTATGTCTTATGTCCTTTGAGATGAACATTTATCCTATATCCTTTGAGATGTCCTTCTTCACTTGTGGTACTTTCCAAAAGATTCACACCATTTGTGTGTTCTCCAGAAGTGTCTAATGAGAAGCCCATGGGCTTTCTCATCAGGACTGGCTTTAGAGGGATGAAATGACACTGCCAATGTACAGGGCTCCTCATGGCTGTAGTTTCCTCTTGGTGTAGGACAATGCATGATCAGTTCCCATCCTATCTAATAAAGATGGAATATGCAAATTGACCGTCATTTTGCGACAAAGATGGCGGCGCCCACAGCCAATAAGGAGGGAATATGCAAATTAATGTGACAAAGATGGTGGCAGCCCGCCCAGAGTGAAGGCGGGAGGCGGCTCCTGGCCCTGGAGTAAAGGCGGGAGGCGGCGGCCAGAGCAAAGGCCCACGTCCTGGGTGCCGGAGGGAAACCGGTGCTGGCAGCCAGGGGAAGGAAGGCCTATTCTTGCACAAATCTTTGTGCATCGGGCCTCTAGTACTCCTATAATCTGCTCTCTCCCGACAAGAGCCTTTTACTAGTAGTTTGCAGTACAAGACAGTCATAATAAGTACTTGTGCCACTAGAGGTCACTGTTCAGCTACATGTAACAGAAGATCTTTCACTAACTCTCTCATCAGCTGACTGGCAAACCTTATTCTGAATACAATAAAGATTTGTCTGTTTCCAAAGGACCATGAGTGTCTGTAGACACTCCCACTTAGGCCTCATTTAGGTCTTAACCCAGGCTTGAACCTTTGATAACTCTAAAGGTACATGTCTTTGCTGAAGTTCTGCTGACAGAAAAATACAGACAGCAACCCCTACTTCACATAAGATAAGCATTATGTTCCAGGTGCTGTTCTGTTTCATATATATATAACATTTAACATCTGTTTAAAATGCTATGGGAGGGGGGAAGTCCGTGAGGAGTTGATTTCACATACCTCATACGTAGATGAGCCAGGATTGAAACCCAGAGCCCATCCACTTACCCACTACCTTGTGTATCCACCAGCATGGCTTTGCTGGAGTCCCATGGTAACCCAATCTTCCCATATCCAAGCCTGGGATCCCTGTCCTCTTTATAAAACGTCCACGTAATGAGATCTGAAGTCGTCAGACGTCTTTTCTCCATGGCAGTGGGAGCTGCTCACCAGCTGTGTGCCATGGGGAGCTTGTCCAGCAGGCATGCCCGTGCCACATCTCGGCCCAGCCTGCCCGCTGTGCCTGCAAGCTGTCCACACCCTGGATCGATCCCAGTAACCGCGTGACTCCACCTCCATCCGTCAGTGTTGTGCTCAGACAACCTGAGCCCCCCAGCTCCTCCCTGCTGGCGCCCTTGCTCCCTAGACGCAGTCGTGGCTTGCTTTGGAAGTGGCTTCAAATTCAGCCCCATGGTACCTGGTAAAGTTTGAGCCCTTTCCTCCTTGGCAGGGGGTGGTGGAAGAAGCATGGGTCTTGGACTTAGATGGACCTGCTTCAGAAGCCTGGTCTTCCTGCTCGGTGCTGTGTGGCCTTGGGCAGAATTGCTTAACTCCTCTGAGCTTAAGTTTCCTCATCTGTGGGTAGACACTGATGACACTCCCCTGGCATGAATGTTGTGAGAATTCGTGATATACATAAAGGGCACTGGCACAGGGTAGGAGGAACTTGACCGATTTCACTATTATCACTTCCTCAAAGGTACAGCCCCTTTTCCACCAATCAGAAAAGCTGACCCTGATGTGGTATCCTCAGTGGATCTCGCCTTTTCCCCAAACACTGGTGCCTCTCCCTGCCTGTTCCTGTGTCATTCCTTGAGCCATGACAACTCATAGGCTGACACGTGTCATCTCTTATCCCTGCCTTTCTCTAACTAGACTCCCATCAGAGCGGAGACTAGCCTTTATACAAACTCTTTGTAACCTATCTTAACCAGGGACCCACAAGAGTAACTGCCCAGCAAATGACTGTTAACAGAGACTAATTGGAGTCATTTCACAAGTATTTATGGAGACTAGTCACCCAGTGTTGGCAATGGGCCAGGCTCTGGGAACAGTGAGGTGATTAAAACCCAGCCCCCACTGCAGGAGCTCCTACTCTGGCTACAAGTTTCTGCAAAGGCCTGGAGCAGTTCATGCTCCTTTCCAAGCATCTAGCTCCCAGGGGCTGGCTTTCTTTGTTGAGGTTGTCTGCTTCCCTGGGTCTCCAGGCAAAGGCCAAGTCCACAGGCCAGAGCCATGTCACCCTGGAGAGTACACAACTGGCATTCAGTGCCCAAGGACCAGGAGGTCACTCAGGCCCTCACAAGCTGGTTCTACCACTTGCTCCTTAAGACCAGCCCAGCAGCCCCTGCTCTCACAGGGGGAAGAGACGGTGAGTGCAGGAGCTGGCCCACGCTGTCCTCACCACGAGGGGACAGTGCAAGACTGCGGCAGCAGAGCACTCGGTCAGGGACAGGCCCCTCGTGACTCACTCCAGCAGCGCAGTATCTGAATGATTTGTTCTTGGGTGGAGTGGATGAAAGGGGGAGGATGGGTCGGAAAAAATGAAACCATCTGTTGAATTCACAAGTTGCCACAAGTCATGAGTTCAACCAATGTTCAAATGACTAAGTATTTTTAGTGCAGAAAAATAAGGTAATTTGAGGGTTTCAGAAAGCAAGCACTGCCTGCAAACCCAAATGATAACTGAAGAAATTCTCTACATTAGCAAAAGTTTTACTCTCTCATTTGCAAAAACAGCATGACTTTTTTTTTTTTTTCCAGGAAAAGGAAGGCTTTCAGAATTTAAAAGAAACAGAGTTTACCAACTCAACCCTCTCTGAAACAGAATAAAGAACCTTTCCTCTTATCTGGGTTCAGAACTGGCAAGCAACCTTGGTGTGGGCACTTCATAAATATTCATGGATAATGCAAATGCGAAGATGCAAAGAGACCGTTTTGCCATTTCCAGAATCCTTCTGAAGTGCCTGTGATTGAAGCAGGATCTCCACTATACTTTGCAGATCTTGCACAAGAAAAAGCCCAGTTTGGCTGGTCACATGGAAAGAAACAGAACAAGAGCAGTGGATTAATCTGTCCTGGAGTCTTGGGTGGTGACTGTACTTACAGGGAGCAGAGCAAACTGAAGTAGTGGGTAGGATTTTTGTTTTTATTATTTTCATTTTTGTGTGTTTCTTTAATTCTCACCCAAGGATATGTGTTGTTGTTTTTTTTAATTGATTTTAGAGAAAGGAAGCGAGAGAGAGAAACATTGATGTGAGACAGAAACATTGATTGGTTACCTCCCATACACATTCTGACTGGGGATAGACCCCGCAACCATTTTGGTTGGGACAACACTCCAACAAACTGAGCCACCTGGCTAGGGTTCTTTTTTTTTTTTTTCCTTCCTCTTTTTTTGTTATTATTCTGGGTAGGATTTCTAAACCACCACTCCCAAAACATTCCAAGGAGGTGGGAATCAAGTGACTCCCACTTTGTGAGAGAAAAAACGCCCTGTCGTCTCGCCTCCTTTGGATATGAGGTGTGCGTATAAACAGGACATAAAGCCAGAATAGTGAGGTGCAGTGCGATTCGAGGCATCTAAATCCATCCTGAGCCCCATGTATCAATGTGGCTGGAGGGAATCTCAGAAAAAACAGGGGGATCACAACACTCTGGAAAGTCTGCGCGTCAAGCGCTCTCTCTTTTTGGCCCCA